TCCCATGTGCATTTTCTTGCACAAAGATGGGAGAGCAGCAAACACTCCTGAGCAGAACTCAGCCAAAACCCTGCTCAGGTAGTGCCCACGGGGCAACTCCCAGCCCTGGTGTCAAGGATTTGTGTTGTTCCACAGATGTTAACGAGTGTCAAGAGTCCAACTCCTGCCATCAGCGTTGCTTCAACACCATAGGAAGTTTCCACTGCGGCTGTGACCCAGGATTCCAGCTGAAGGGCAGAAAATGTGTGGGTAGGGATGAAGTTCTGAATGTCCCTTCCCTCTTTCCAGTAGACAGAGTTCAGCATTTATTTGTTGCTCTCTTATGAAAGAAAATGCTGTTATGGATGATACACTTAATGTATGTACATTTTGGAATCTGTCAAGCAGTACTGAAAGCCAGAGGCAGCAAGAATTGGGCTGACTGATCCATGTGCGTGAAATGATTCAATATGTGCTCACAGGGTAATTTCATTACCTCATAATTGAGTTCAATCTTGCTTTTTTTTTTTTTTACTTTTGTTTGAATAAGATGTCAATGAGTGCAGGCAGAACGTGTGCAGGCCTGATCAGCTCTGCAAGAACACCCGTGGTGGCTATAAGTGCATTGATCTGTGTCCCAGTGGAATGACCAAAGCAGAGAACGGGACTTGCATTGGTGAGTAGAAGCATTAATGCACTGTGTGGCTTGGGGTAACACAGGGACAATGTTCTTTAATTTTAATTTATTTTAATGATATTTATTTTTTTACATAATCCTGAAGATTGTCCATCTCCATTTATTAGTATTTGCACATACTAAAGCACCAATTTGTTTTTGCGTATGGAGCATCTGTATTTAACTTTCCTTGTAGCTGGTATTAAAAAGCAGATGCATCCTTGCCACCTCTAGTTTTCCACTGTTCTTAAGCAGTGATTTCCCTTGATGTCTTCTCTGTGTCAGAACCTTGTTTTCTCTGTTATTCATTGACTGAAATGTTTTGCTCTGTGTGTGCATGATTTCATAAGAGTTTGGCTCAGGAGCTCTCTATCAAGATCACGGGTCCCTGCTGCTTATCAGGGAGGGCTTTAAGCAGAGCTGATGTTCGGTAGGTGGTACCAAAGCTTTTGTTCCAGTGGAATCACGGGATGATTTGGGCTGGAAGGGGCCTTAAAAATCACCTATTTCTACCCCTTGTCATGGGCAAGGACACCATCCACGATCCCAGGCTGCTCCCAGCCCCATCCAGCCTGTCCTCGGACGCTGGCAGGGATGGAGCAGCCCCAGCTTCCTCCCGCAGTGAGGCTGTGGCAGAGCTGTGACTGTTGCCTTGCCGTGTGCTGCAGATGTTGACGAGTGCCGGTCGGGGTCGCACCAGTGCCGCTACAACCAGCTGTGCGAGAACACCCGCGGCAGCTACCGCTGCGTGTGCCCGCGAGGATTCCGCGCCCAGGGCACGGCCAGGCCCTGCGTGGGTAAGCTGCCGCTGCAACCTCTCACACCTGTGCTCTGCTTTTGCCTGGCTTTCTGCTGCGGCACACCAGCAGTGCTGTCCCTGGGCGAGACCATGCTGTAGAGACAAGCTTGCTCTGCGTTTCCAAATTGGCCGTCTAAAACAAAGCGTTCCGTTCTGAACAAACAGAGCTAAATGGTTCCAAACAGAGATGGGTTTGGGGCTGTGCTTTGAAAACAAAGTGTAAGAGGGACTCAGGGCACTGGTGGATGGATGTGGCAAATGACTGCTCCACAGGAGGCTTCAGTTATAAGAATCTGAAGGTTCATTAGAAGAATAGCTTAGTGGGGTTTGTGGATGTGCCTGGCTGTGCCCTGGCTCAGCCCTGAAGGCAGTCACCCAGGGAGTCATGTGGGTTCCCCTGGGGAGCACGTCCCAAGGAGCTGCAAGAGGCCACAGACCCAGAACTGAGTTTGGTTCCTGAACATCCCAAGTACACCTATGCCCTGATCAGGACTGCCAGGGGTGTTCCCCAGCAGGCAGAGCACAGGGACCTGGTCTGCATTCCTCCCTCAGTACTCCCCTCCTGGCCTGGGTGGCTCCCAGCAGGGAAGGAGTAGGATCCCTGGCACTCAGAGGAATGCCAGCCATGCAGTCACTCCCTGTGCCATCTTAGCATAAAGCCACACAGGGTTTTCTCCCACATCATGGAAGACTCCAGAGCTCTGACAGGGGGAGCATGAAAGTTTAATGTGTGGGGCCAGGGCAAGTGGATAAGCACTTCCCCTGGCATTTAAGAGACTTCAGGAAGGCAGTAGGATCATTTAGAATCACCTTTACTACATTTATGTCAAATATTTAAAATGTAAGAGCTGACCTACCCTGATATTGAGGATTTCTGAATGTGGGTATATGACACCAAGTGAGGTTGGTTTCAATTGCTGTTACATATGTCAGGAAAACATTCCTCCCTGATGACTTCTTCAAGATAAATAGTTTTTTTCTTATAATTAAAATTCAGATCAGTTGTTGTCATCCTTAAAGTGAAATTCTCATTTGTAACACCTGAAAATTTTACCCTAAGGATAATTCCACAAATATGTGAAGATTGAGTTGTGTTTGCAAAATATTGTAACACTCTGTAATTACTATTTCTGGATTTCCAACTGTTAAAGCAATTAATTATTAATATCCCCATAAATGATAATTCCACAAATATGTGAAGATTCAGTTGTGTTTGCCAAATAAGAGCTGCAAAATATTGTAACGCTCTGTAATTACTATTTCTGGATTTCCAACTGTTAAAGCAATTAATTATTAATATCCCCATAAATTGTTTAAAGCCTTAAATGTATCAAATATTAACCACTTCATAAAAATGCAGCCTAATGTTCTACTGTATTCTGACAGTATTGATCTTTAAATACCATTCTCATTAATGTGTGGCTTGGGGAGTTACAAGCTGTGCTCAGAAGTTTCTGTTCATAGGGGATCCAAATGAAACTGTGACAACGCTGGCTTAATGGCATTTTTACAGTAGTAATTGGAAGAATACACACTACTATGGAATAATTAAATTATTAAATTATTAAAATCATCTTTAATTTCTAGTAGGATAATGTTTATAATACATGTCCGTTATTCATATGTTGTGCTGTATGTTAATAGCAGGTTTTTTATTTCTGGTCATTGCAGAGTTGTTTGGAATTAATAGACTTCTGTCTTTTTTTGGTGAAGAAATACTAAGTTTGAAAAGAAATACAGTATGTGTCCAATTTCCAGCTGAGACTGAAGTAACTTGATAAAAACTATAGAAAATTTCTTTCTGGTGGTGTCAGAGAGACTGTGGGAGAAGGTCCTGCAGTCCCAAGAGCACTTAGAGTTACTTGGAGGGAAGGACACTCAGCATGTTGTACCCTCAAGGCCTTTACTAGACTTTGTGAGCTCAGCACTCAGTTTTGATTTAAGGATGGATATTTATTGCTGGTCCAAATAACTTTGGACTGCAATTTAAACAACTAAAAAGAAAAAGACATTGCTTATGAAAGCAAAAATAATTCTATTTTTTAATTGTCCAAAAGTGAATTAATATGTATTCTTGAGTCTCCAGCCTGTCACAGCTGGAATGACCAGTAACAGCACCAAAAGTTAGAAGGTACCTGACCTCTTGCCCCTGCAGCCTTGAAACATGTTCTTGAGCCCAATGCCCCATCCCTGGCAGTGTCCAAGGCCAGGTTGGACAGGGCTTGAGGCAAGCTGGGCTGGTGGAAGATGTCCCTGCCCATGGCAGGGGGTGGGACTGGCTGAGCTGTAAGCTCCCTCCAGCCCAAAGCATTCCATGATTCTGTGATTCCCCCAACACAGGGCACAATAACTACATCAGAGCCTGCTGTGCTTCCCTTAGTGTGGGGTGTAAGGAATTTCTAGACTGTACTTCTCTGGAATGCTCTGTGTTAAGGGTTGTCTTTTAAAGAAGGGACCAGTAGCTTCTTCCATTAATCTGTGGAACACTAAAGGAAAAAAAAAACCCAATTACTAAGAGAGTGCTGAGCAGCTGAGGCAGAACAGCTTCTTCCATTCATCTGTGGAACACTTAAGGAAAAAAAAAAAACCAATTACTAAGAGAGTGCTGAGCAGCTGAGGCAGAAACAAGGCTTCAGCAGGGCTCCTGTCCTGGTGGGCACAGTCACATCAGCCTGTGGGAGAATGAAGGTCTCTTACAGTCCAGGACAGTGGATCCTGCCTGCTTGGCCTAGTGTTCTCCATGTTTTACTGCCTCCAAACCTCACTTATGTCTTCAGCTTGTTCCTGACACTGAGATAAGTATCTGTGTGTATATATATGTATAGTTATGTGTTGTTGTTTGTTTGTTTTCTCTCTCCTTTCCACATGGTTTGGGGCTCTGGATCATGTCACATGAGCAGACATTAATGAATGTGAACAAGTGCCTAAACCCTGTGCACTTCACTGCACCAACACCCCCGGCAGCTTCAAGTGTTTCTGTCTACCTGGGCAGCAGTTACTGGGTGATGGGAAATCTTGCGCCGGATTGGAGAGGGTGCCAAATTCGGGTGCCTATTACAGTAGCTATAACTATGCTCAGTTCTCCCCTGGGAGAGACAACCAGCAACTGCAGCACTATTACAGGCACTCCTCAAATCTCTACAGCTCCTTCTCAGAGTATAGGAACAGCAGAATACCTTTCTCCAGGACTAGAAGGAACCTTAGAGAAACTTGTCCTGAAGGCTATGAGGCAAGAAATGCCAGATGTGTAGGTAAATGTCAGTCCTGTCTATGCAACTCTATTTTGGGCCTTATTCTTAGGTTACTCTGTGATATATACCAGGGGCTGAGGGTTTGTGGTGCTGGGGTTGTGCTTTCAATTACCCTGGTCAATATTCAGAGGGTTCTGCATGTTCTGGTCTCTGCTGTCTTGGCTCACATGGTAGCAAAAATGTTCTCAAACCTCCTTAAAACCTTCTGTTTTAATTGTGCTGCTTATTACCTGTATGCAAAGTATTTCCCTCTGTAATTGTCTTTCTCCTGATCATAGTAGCTCACCTTGGTGAATCTTCTCACACAACAAAAGCCACCAGCAGCCCCAGCTTACTTAGAGTGCTTCTGTCAGATTCCCATTGGCAGCAGTAATCTAAGTCAGAAAGGTTTGGAATAACCATTTTAGAATTGATCACACTGGGGCCACTGCCAGCACTGCCACTGCCACACAGGCAACAGGCAGAGAAGCTTTTACATTATTTTATGTAAGAAAAGGGGTTGCAATGTAATTCAGTGAGCATGGAGAAGACATCAAACCTTGTATTTAAGCTACAGAGAGGTTTCAGTAGTCACATCCATGTGGATTGTTATGGTGTTATATATATATATATATATATATATATATATATATATGCAGGTTAATTGAGAGACCCAGGAATACAACCCTGAGGGAAGGGTTTGTTTCCAATTTTGATCTTCATCCTAGCTTCCATTTGGAATTAGTTAATATGCCATGAATATTATTAATAATATTAATATTCCATGACACTTTAATTTCATTGAATAAATACCTAAATTTTAAAATTATTGTTTAATATAAAAAATACCCCCAAATGATGCTTTTGTTAAAGAAAATTCTTTCTCTAGGCAACCATCAGGATTTGCTAACAGCACAGAGGTTTGTAGTCAGATCTGTTTCTCTTTTCTGTTTGCATTTTGATCTAATGCAACCCCTGTCAGTCCAACAAAGGGGAAGCAGAGACCTTCCTTCCACTGATTTAACCATGCAAGTCTGAACTCTTGCTTGAGATTACTTTGCTGCTGTCCTGAACTAGGCAGATGTTTTAAAAGCCATTATAATTACAAATTATCTGTGTCTAAATCATGCTAATGTGCTCTGGAAACTTTACATAATGTGGTCTGGCACGGGTACTTCTGTATTTGAGAGGGAGATTTTAAAAAAAAAAAAAAAAGGACGAAAGAAAGGAAGAGCATTTAGTGACAGTCTTCCCAGCTACCGAGCCTAATTCATCCCTCTGGGATGGGCAAGGTCAGTTTAAAAGGGAAACAGCTTTGCCTGAGGAGGGAGTGACTGTAAGGAAGACTCCCACCGTAACAAGGCTTCCTCTGGTGAGATAAGGAGCGTGGGTGTTCCCTAAGCATGTTGCTTAACACCTGATTGATTATCAGGCAGCTCAGATTGCTTTGAGGGCAGGACCGTGTTTGTATGACCCTGGCAGTGGACAGAGGTGGCACATCCCCCTTTCTCCCAGAGCTCTGTCTCAGGACTGGTCTCCTCAGCTGGGATCTGTCACAGCTGCTCTTCACCGAGGGGAGGAGCCCCTCAAAGATGACTTTAGTGCCTGCAGAGTTACAAGGAATGGCACAGGTAAGGGGACACTCTAGTCTTAGATGTTCAACCCCATCAGAAAAAGAGATCCAGACAACTCCCACCAGCTCTGTCTGTACACTTGCAGTACATAAATAGGGGGAAGGTACCTGCGTTCATGGCAGGCTCAGGGAGCGCTGAGGTGTTGGTGCTTCTCTCCGCAGACATCGATGAGTGTGAGAGCAGAGACACGTGTCAGCACGAGTGCAGGAACAGCCTGGGCAGCTTCCAGTGTGCCTGTCCCGCGGGATACCGCCTCATGCCCAACGGCAAAACCTGCCAAGGTACGGAGAGCCATCCCTGCCGTGCTCTGGGGGAGGTCTGCAAAGAAACCTGACACCAGCCAGGCCCAGCACATGGCTGAGCCACCTCTCTGAATTGGCTGTGTGAGAGTCAGCATTCAAAATGTCAAGTTTCAAAAGTTTTAATATTCCACACTTTGTTTCATAAAATATTAGCGAACTAGACAATTGCAACTTTTAATTCTCCGCCTGTGACTTTCTCATTACACACTGAGCTCCATGCTCTGGGGTCAAACAGAGGCACATTCTGGGCTCTGCTCAGCCTTTACCCACTTTGATTTTCACCCGTTAATTCTTCTACCAGCAGTTGATCCCTTGCATGTTTTTCCATCCAGATATTGATGAGTGTCTTGAAGAGAACATAAATTGTGGATCAAATCAGATGTGTTTCAACATGAGAGGAAGCTACCAGTGCATAGACACTCCTTGTCCACCCAACTACCAGCGAGAGCCACATTCTGGGTATGTTCTATTCTCAGCCCCTTCTCACCTGCCTCAAGCTCAGCTCCTTAACCTGTGCTTGTTAAAGAAGAAAATGTAAGTTTGCCTAACACCAGTAGAGCTCACAGTAGCTTGGAGATCATAGAGTCAGAGTCCTGGGATGGTTTGGGTTGGAAGGGACCTTAACAGAACATCCAGTTCTACCCTCTGCCATGAGCAGGGACACCTTCCACTATCCCAGGCTGCTCCAAGCCCTGTCCAGCCTGGCCTTGGACACTTCCAAGGGATGGGGGCAGCGACAGTTTCTCTGGCAATCTGTGCCACTGCTTCAACTGCCAGGGAAGAATTGCTTCCTAACATCTAATCTGAATCTCTCTAATGACCTGACTTGCTATCAGCTTCAAAGCATCAGATACATTCTTTAAGTCATGAAAATAATTCTAAGTTCCTGTTAAGCTATGTTATTTCCCTGTTCTGGGAAAAAAACCTATATTGATATATTTTAATCTTTCAATATCCTCAAACAAAAATAGCTTTTTTCATAGTCAGAAACCATCTTTTGGGATCAAACTCAACTGCAGTGACATCTACACTGACATGGAGGTCATGTCCTTCGACCTCCATTAGCACTGGCAAAGTGTACTAGCAAAGATTTCATGTTTTAACTTCTAATTAATAAAAGTAAATTTTATTCTGCCCTTCACTACATATTCTTTATTTTATGACCTAACAGACATGTACCTGAAATGCTGTCCAGAACATTTTAAACTAGGTTTTGCCATTCTAATGTTTAAGAGCACAGTCACTAAAACTTACCCTGTGGACATCAATGACATCAGTGCAGCCAACATCTTTCTGGGATGATCCTGTTGAGGCAAAAAGGGATGTTAAACTGGGCTGCAGTTCTAAAGGAAGAGTGGATGAAGAGTGCATAAGCACTTCTAGAGAAGTTTTAATCTGCAACAGGGTAAACAGGGGAAAAATTTATCTTCTAAGACCTATCCCAGTACTTAAGATACTGTGCCTTCTCCCTGGGCTAAAGTGGTCTGCTCCTTCCTAGGTTCTGTCTCAAAAGCTGCCCAGCCAACGACCTGGAGTGTGACCTGAGCACCTACGCCCTGGAGTACAAGCTGCTGTCGCTGCCCTTCGGCATCGCCGCGGGGCAGGATCTGATCCGGCTGGTGGCCTACACTCACGACCAAGTCATGCACCCCAGGACCACCTTCCTGATGGCGGACGAGGACCCCGCCGTGCCGTTTGCCCTGAGGGATGAGAACTGGAAGGGGGTGGTGTTCACCACGCGGGCGCTGCGGGAGCCCCGGACGTACCGCATGGGCGTGCGGGCCCTGTCCTACGGCGCCGACGGCAGCGTCGAGTACCGCACCACCTTCATCATCTACATCGCCGTGTCCGCCTTCCCCTACTGAGCTCGACCTCCTTCCCCAGGGCCAGGCTGCTGCAGCCTGCTCTGCTGCCTGCCCATACGGGAACCACCGCACTTCACAGGGTGCTATGCGCTTTTCTCCTCCCCTGCTTCCCGGAGGCTGCCTCTCCAGTTCTGGTGTTCCAATTCAAGAGGAAGATCCATGGCTTTGAGGACCTGTTACCACTTGCTTTATTTATTACACTGGAATAGTCACTTTCCACAGTACTGAAAAGCAGCAGAGACATCCATGTAGTCAAAGCAGTAAGCAAGGAGCAGCCTCCACTGAAAGTAACTGAAGAAAATAAACCCATAATTTCAAGTGGTCTACATATTTTAAAGGTTGCTAAGTGTTTTAAATTTTGTATCTGTTAGATTTTTTTTCCTTATCAATTACCCAATAGAATTAGGGCTGTGCTATACTATGTTGTGTGCTCGAACCCACCAAATGCCACTGTGCCCAAGGGTTGCAAATGCTGAAACAAATTGCATTAAAGTATGTTTGCAGCTAATGAATCTACAGGAGAATTTGGAACTGGTACCTTTGGTTTCCATGCAAGTGTAGAGATGTTGCTATTTTTTGGATGAAAAAAACCAAAATGGCTTCTTCTACTTTATAGAGCAGGTATTTTATAACTTGTTTTTACTCTGCCATTCTGGTATAGCCATTTATTTAACCCAAACCCATATCCACTGCCATACTCCCAGCTCAGCAAATGGTCTGGGGTTTTACGCACATGGAACATTTTTCTCCAAAGGTGATGTAAGTTTGGTTCAATAATGTCAATACACTGTACACAAGTAATTTTGCCAAGATGTATTCTATTTTTATGGACGTGTATATATGTGGTTTTCCTATGTGTATTTTCTATGCAGTATCTCAAGACTGTTTTACAGTTAAGTTTGCATAAAAGGACAATGTCAGTACAATGAAAATAATCAAAATAAAGGTTCCCATCAACTTTGAGACTGCTGGGAGTTTTATCTTTGAAAAAATTCTTCTCCATTTCTAAAGCTCTCGCCCTAAGTGCCAGGGGACAATGCAGAAGGTACCATGCCCAGTAAACCAGGGAGCAGCTGCAGCTCTTTTCCCTCTTCCCGGCACTCTGGGGTAGTAAGAGATTATCACCAGCTTTAAAGTAGTTTTTCAGCCACAAGAACAAATTGTCTCCCAGTAAAATTTTGTCTCTATTCTTGTATATTATTAACCAACGTTAGACATCCCCACTTGTTGTCCCCTTGTTTTTTCTTCCCTTTCCAGTGCACCAAGTGAAGTAGTCCTGCAAAACAAGGATGACTTAAAATTGCTTTGCACTTTATACAGATTTATCTGAGTTACAGACTTCAAACTGAACAGGTTTGCTTCTCAGAAACCTGACTTGAGAAATAAGAACAGCTCAAAGAAGACAAATCCCATGAAAAAGACATGAGGGAAGGAGAAGTGAGAGTAAGTTATACTAGGTACAGGTAATTACCTCAATGTCTTTTAAGGATGAGAATCAGACTGAAAGTGATGTCCTTAAGTGCATCTAACTAACTCCACTCCCAGAACACAAAAATTTCTACTGTGACATATTTTGTGAGAAGGGAGAAAACCCCAGCAGAGTTTACAACCTTTCTAATCAATCTGACCCTAAAAGAAGTAACAGTCACTTGCTGCAGCAGTGCCCAGAGCACTCAGCCCATGCCTGTATTCCAGGAAAACATCTGCTAAACCCCAGCCTTTGCCAGAATACAACCAGACTCACTATTCCTCCCACAAACAATCCTTTCTTGGTAAAGCCTTAAGGAAACTGCACGTTAAATACACCCCTTTGGAAAAACCCATGTGATTCCTTCCAAATCTAAGGTCTAGGAGAGGAGTAAGGCAGGAACAGGAGTTCAGGGATGAAACCAGGGTTGATGGGCTAGAAAGGATGGAGAATTCAGAACCAGCATCTGTTAAAGGTGACTGATGCCCTAATGTCAATCCCACCACAGCATCAGGTATCTCACACCCACCATAAAAGGCAGGTGTTCAGCAACCAGAGGCAGGTAAGGAATGCCCATCATACCTTCTGTAGGGATCCAGCTTGCCAGCCCCTGGAGAGAGGAAATGCACTGGGGCTTTGTTTTCCTTCACACACTGGCCGAAGTGAAAAGCTACTGCATGGGTACAGTAATGAGCCTGTGCTGGAAACAAGGCAGTGCTGGCTGAAGGGAAAACATGTCATCAGATGAGATGGATGCTCAGCAAAGAGCGGAGCAGCTGTGCCTGACTGGGAAATGTCCACTTCCAAGTTAGATCCAGACAGTGGGTGCGAAACCAAGCCGGACGCTGAGTCACGCAGTCGTCACTGCCCACATCGGCGGGGCACTTACAGGCAGGACACTGCTCCCGGGGTCCAGGGGGAGTTCTGGAGCCCTTTGCCTTCAGAGGCATTTCTAGTTCTGGCAGCTCCAACCCAAGGCTGCTGCCAATAAAAACTTGGCCCAGCGCAACAGTTGAAATCCATGGATTATTTTACAAGGCTGGAATCCCAGCACCCGGCCTGCTGTCACACACGAGTGGGAGCAGCACACACAGCACTGCTGTAGGATCCCCCGGCCAGGGTGCAGAGGAGGCACCTGGCACATCTCCAGTTACCTGTCAGGGTACGGGATGTACAAATGCATGGATGGGTGTGGGCTGCTGGGCAGTCCTGTGCTTTGTTTCTGTGGAGAATCCTGCAGGCAGATAAGGCTCCTCTTACCTTGTGGACTTCAGCCTCTGATCAGGTGGAGAGCTTTGATTCAGCCCAAAACCAGATGAATCTCATTGCCAGCACTCAGCACCACAATGAAGTCTGGAAACCTAAAGCACCTTCCTCACCAACTTCCATTAATGCTGGAGAGTCTGAATGGCTTAAGTGCAGCTCCTGAGGGGAAATCAGAGACATTTCCAGCTCTGGCACATGCAGAAGGTCCCCATTCATGCAGAGTTGATACGCCACAGGGACTACAGGAACTCTTAGTGAATTACTTCACTTGCCCCTTGTAAACCTGGGCAAACTAAGAAGCACAAGCTTCTGGGTGTGAGCTGGGACAGCAAGGAAACACCAGAGAGTGCCAGCTGATGGCCAGAGCTAAATGGGTCCTCAGACATCACACCTTCAGTGGCACTGCTCTAATCATCTCAACATCCAAGCAGTGCATCCAGCCACGCCCTCTGAACAAGGTTAAATGTGATCTCTATCTGGCTGCAGATTTTTATAAACACATTTGCATGTCTGGACACACTTAAATCGCCTCTGAGATCACTGGGTTCAATGTTCAAATCTTCAGTGCACAACTCGTGCCAGATTATTCTGCTTTGATAAATTTAGTGTTAGGGAAGGAAAGGAGACTTGCTTACAGATAAAGGCATATGGATAAAAAAAGGTGCAGTTCAGCACTAACATAGATTCAAATTATAGTTTATGAATAGCTAAATAATGGGGGAATCACAAAAATCACCAAGCCAAGGGGCTGTTCAGAATACACAGCAAAGGTTAAGAAGTGCTCTGAAGTAATGCTGTGCAAAGAAGAGGATCTCTTATTTTTCACTGTATGTAAGCACTGCACATCTCCTGTGGCTCTGGGTAACTTCAGCAGTCTTGCAATTCAGTGAGATGCAGCTATCTTCCTTATTAATAACTTCTCATTGCTAAGGAGCTCCCCTCCACACCTCTGAACAGCTTACTGCACAACAGTCACACAAATCAAGTCCTGCTCTCCTGCTCGATCACAAGAAGTGTCCCAAGGACTCCACTCATAGAGAACACCTGAGAGGTATCAAGAGAGCTGCACTGCACAGCCCATAATTCAAGCAAGGCCAACTCTTCCTATGCAAAACTGTAGCAGAACCACTGGCAAACACAAAGTTGTATGTAAAAGCTTAAAAAAAGGAATGTATCAGATTTGGGGTCTCCAGCTTCAGAGGCAAAGCCCACCAGCATCCCATTATCACTGTCCCTGATAAACACAGTGGCACATAAAAAAGCCCAGTTCCAAACAGCATCAAGGTTCCTTCACAGGATTTTAGCTGTACTGCCTCTGGAATCTGCTGCTGTAGATGTAAAAGATGGGGTTTGCAAATCTGGAAGAAGAATGGGTTCCCAAATGCCACAGGAACAACTGCCTCTTCACAAAAAAAACAAGCAAAGGAATAGGATTTCCCCATGTCCAGAGAGGAAAATGCAAAGGTCTCTGGTGCCACTGCATGACTGACTGAAATGGAAGACACAAAAATAACATGAGAAAACAACATGAAAACACACATTGAAGGGACTACAGGAGCCCCAGTGATAAGCAGGGGAGGACAAAGCCTCCTTGCACCTCAGCAGATGTTTTCTGCTGAGATGTCCTATCAGCTCCCATGCTTGAGAGCTTATGGGAAAGAGATGGGCTGAAAAAATCTGCAACATAACCATCACTTCTTCAAATTCTCTTCTACTTAAAAGAACTAGACTTTAAATATAAACCTTGTAAATAACCCTGATTGCATCAAATTTATTCATCCTTCCTCATCTGTCTGCGAGCAGAATTAGCTCACCAGTATTCACTATTTACCAATCCTTCAGGCCAGCCTGCTTTTCTCAGCTGCTGTGGCCTTGTTGGAAAGGAAATATTGGTGGTTTTCTTACTGGTTGCTCTGCAATGCTCTCAGTGATGCAGAGACTGATAGAGAACCTCAAGTTGGGTGTAACCCTGCAAAGCCTGTGCCAAAATATTACTGCTAACATTTCACAGCTCATGTTTTGAAAAGTTTTGGATGCATAAACAATGTTGTCCTTTAATAGATGAGGCCCTAAGACAGAAGTGGTTTGTGTTCACCAGCCCAAATGCACAGCAAGGTAGTATCATGGTGTTTTTACCACCTGTAGTAGCTTTACTACAGACAAGCAAAGAGCCATCAGCAATTACCAAAAAGCCACTTCTAATGAAAGCCAGTCACAACCTTGCTAAAAAACTCCAACTGCCTTCAAATTGGGCACCTCAGCTAACCAAAATCTCTCTTAATCATAGAAAAGGTCTCAGCAGATACTGCAAGTAATAACTAAGTTTTACTTAGAGCTGCTATAACCCAAATGGTCTTGATATAGATTTGAAAATTATAAACAGGACAGAAGGGCCCATTGCAAAATTAATTACCACAGTATGTAAAAACACACCAGCAGAGCAGCTAATGGAAAGAGGCTGAACCTAGCTGAGAATCAGCCTTTTGGAGAAGAAAAGCTGTTTTTTGGGCAGTCAGGTTCATCAGTGAAGTTCAGCACCACCAGATTATCCTCTGCTTGTTTATGAAGCCCTGTTGGTTATCTAAATAAATCACACAGCATTGATTTTTCTCCCATCTTGGATGCTAGAAAGGAATTAACAGAAAATAACAATCACCAAATCTCCACCCTGAAACTGGAATTTAAACCAGCCATGCTAAAGTCTGAGACATTTTCGTGATTTAGAGCCACGTGAGTCAGTTGCCCATTTCCACAGGTTTTTTCAGTATTTTGACAACGTCCTTTGATCACCTAAAGCTGAACTGAGAAAAACACAATGGATGCTTGTTCCACTTGGCAAACCCCAAACTCTCCCACTTTTCTGTCATCATTTGTGTCTTTCAACAAATGCTTCTGATACTCAGATACACATCCAGACAACATCTTCAAATTAGGTATTTGGTCCCAATTACACTGAAGTCAAAGTCTGAGCTTTATGTACCTAAGCATCAACTTCTCAGCCACCTCTCAATTACAGCAATAAGCTCTCCTCTGACTACAGCAAATCCTTTCCCTCCCACTCACAATAACTCTGAGTAGCGGCACAAAGACTTTGATCTTATCTACAAACACAACCAGCTACTCCTTTCCTTTCAATTTCAGCCTGTCTTTACTGCCAGGAATCAGCCTTGCTACACTTCCAGATCTGTTTGCTCTTCCTCTCAAATTGGCCTTTTTTCACTTGGCAGGAGTTTGCTCCTTGCACAGAACAATTTAATTTTGCTCTTTCAACTCTTTTATTCAGAGCAGTCCTCTGTTGGGGTGTCATTAGAGATAAATACAAGATAGCGAAATGCGTAACTACAGGAAAGGAGACCAACACCATTTTCTGTACAAGTTATCTAAAAAATTAGTTTTGGAAGCTATTAAACACCTTCCAGTATAACATCATGTTGGTTAACAGCACTTTCACAACTATTTCCCTTACGAGAACGTTGGTTATTGAGCTGTTTTTTCCAGTTTTACAAAGTCTGTCCAGATAAACTCCATTCTATTACAGAGGTGTGTGAGCTTAGATTTTAGGACCTGTTCCACAATATGCTCCTGGGGGAAGAACAGGGCGCACCTCTGGCTCAAAAACCTGTATATTATCTTACAAGGAATGAACTGGTAGCACACCAAAACCTGTGATGGAGAAGTATTCTTGAACATATGAACATTGCTACCAAAAAACCTGGAGTTTTAGCTGGCAGGATTGACTGGAGGAGCCCTTGTTGCTCCATGGGAGGGGCCAGTGACAGAGTAGTGCCAAAGGAAGGACCCACTGGCTTTAGAAGTCTTGGACTGCAGGTGGCCCATTGAGACTTGCCATGAATATCAGATGCTGCCACCAGCACTTGCAGGTCTCAAATGCTGGTCACAGAGACAAAATTCCCCACGTCAGAGACATCCATGAACACAAGGGACTCAGCAGCACCAAACCCCCAGGAGTCACAGCCAGACCTGTGGTACATTTAAATCACAAACACCAGGTCATGTTTACTTTACACCATGGATGTATGGATTTAGTTCAAGTGCGAGCTGTCACCAATTCCTGACAACATCCTGAGCAGCTACTTGGAGTACATGAGCACTTATCAATGCACCCTCAGGCCCACAGCACACTGGGACAACTTCAAAACACAAACCAGAATTTACGTCCATATTTGCTGAAACAGTTGAACAGTATTTTTTGTAAATATAATTGGGATTTCATTCTTTTGATTTTTCTTAAGCTGCTTTTGATTTTTCTTTGATGCTCTATATTCTGATCTATCAGAACATAGAGCATCAGAAAGCTCTGCTATCTAGCAAGCAAGCCTGCAGTTACAGGTTTGAGCTTAGTTTTGAACTTCTGGGATGAAATCTATTTTTTTCAGTAATGTCTCCAGCACAAAAGGAAGATGTACTTGTAGTGTTTATAAGACTGTTGGCAGAAATAAGTAATATTAATTAGCTTAATCTAACTAATTAATTAATAA